TTTTAACGGAAAATCTTAACATGCACCGAGCGAAGGAAAAGTCATGATGGAGGTGTTTTTTGATTCTCAAGGAATTGTTCATTCAGAATTTATTCCCGAAGGTAAAACAGTAAACAAGGAGCATTATCTAGACATTTTATGACGTTTGAGGGAATTCATTCGTCGTAAATGGCCACAGATCTGGCAAAGTGGAGACTGGTACTTTCTGCATGACAACTCAAATTAATGTGCTTCCACACCCCGCCTATTCACTGGACTTAGCCCCGTGTGATTTTTATTTGTTTCCATCAATGAAAAAGCATTTGCAGGGACGCTGTTTTGTGTCATTAGATGAGGTGAGAGCAGCATTGCAGGAGGCCTTACGGAGGGTTTCAAAAAATGGCTTCCAGCAGTGCTTCCAGAAGTTATACGAGCGCTAACAAAAGTGTATCGTTGCCCAAGGTGATTACTTTAAAGGTGGTTATGCATTGGCAATATAAACTTTTTAAGGTAAGGAATTTTAAGCCAAGTCCCCGAACTTTTGGATCGCACTACGTATAACCCCTTCCATTTCATCCAAGATGAATGTGGAAGCAAAGAAACCTAGGCAGAAAACTGTAGTATTGCTGACTGAGATTAAAAAGAACTTATTGCAGAGCATGAAAAGATTCATGACAGAGCTATGGGCCATGTTTAAGATGCCAAAGTTGATGTATATGACCAGTATATGCATTTTTCATTTTATTACACAATATTTATATATTTTTTGTTTTCATGTTTCAATTTATTATTTAAGGCATTTATTTTTATCTTAAATTATGTGTATTTGCTGTTTAAGTTTATTGAAATGGGTATTGTTTAAGGTCTGGGAACAGATTAATTCACTTTCCATTATTTTTAATAGAAAAATTGATTCAGAGTTTGAATGTTTCTGAGTTCAAACAACCTGCTGGAATAAATTAAATTCAAAATGGCACTATTGTATATGTGTAGTCAATAAGTTTTGATGATACATTATTGGATGACAAAAGTTAAGCTGAAAATGATTTTGTTACAAACTACACATATATAGGTAAAATTTTTTTATTTATAGTTTTATTATTATTTAAGTGATTGTTGAATTATCTTCAATCAAATTCAAATTGTGACAGAAATGAATATCATCTGTATTTAGTATCTTATCATAAATTATGTTTCTTCTTCATTATGTTTGAATTATTTTACATTAACATATACTATTATCGTTATTATGTAATATCAATTATATTATTAGCTAGATATATAACGAGCAATTATTTGTTGTGACATTGTTACAATGCTGGGTTGCAATTTTTAATCATCTTTAAATTAAAAGATTATAAATTGTCCAAACCAAAAGTTTGTGTATAGTTAATCAGGGTCTCCAGCTCTAAGCTTTCTATATTTTGCTCTTGGTTTTAGTAGTGACTTCTTGCCCTTGTACATCATACTTCTCCTGATAATGATTAAGTCATACCAGTCATCTATCTAATTGCGTTCTGGAGAAAATTTTGAATTGAAACCACATGACTTCTAGTCCAGACCAGATGTTCATATATAGTTAATTGGGTCTCTGGTCCCTAAGCTTTCAAGATTTGGTCTTGATTTTCATCTATTTAACTCCATTCTCAAGATTAATGAAAGACAGACAGACAAAAGACAAACAGTGGGAATATATAGGTCTGCAATTTGAAAATTGTAGTCCAATAATAAAAGTTATTTGCAAATTTGAACTGACAGTTTCATAATACAGTAGAATCTCATTTTAACAGATCACAGAACAACGGCTTTCTCAGAATAACAGATATTTTCCCCCATGTCCTGCCAAATCAATGTAATTTTATCTCCTTTTAGTGAATCTGTAACTCAAAATAACAGCTTTTTTCTAGCCCCATCTATTCTAAACTTCACATTTTTTTCAACATTTAGTTAATATTTGGATGTTTCCAGGAATTTATACAGTTCAATGATGAACTTGATACATCTGGGATATGTATAGTACAGTACAATTGAAGAATTGTGTGAAGAGAGTCAGCAGGCTGATACAATGGAGGAGAAGCCACCTAGTGAACATTATGAAGCAGGTCCAAACATAGTGCCAAAATTTAGCAAGGCCACAAAGTCTTTCCAAGTTGTGAAGACCATCCTGATGAGTTTCATTTTAAACAAACAGGCTATACATGATATTGCTAATATCAAATGGTTGTTGTATTCAAGAGGCAGAAAAGTGGCATCAAAACAAACCAAAATGGATGCGTTTTTAACAAATTGTTAAGTCGAGTGAAGTGCAAATGTAATTTGCTTCTTTTTGTGCTTACAGTGTATACAGTTTCTGTCAGCTTTATCATACACATATAAGGCATAATATATCATCTTGTAACATACATGTTTGTGTAGAATAAAGAATAGAGATCTCAAAAGACTGAGTGATTTCAAGTACAGGTATTTCTTATATGTAGGGGGTTAAATAATGGATATTTTTCTCAAATGTGGAAAATCTGTAGTTCTCGATATAATGGATTCTCGGAACAACAGATGATTTTCACTGGCCCGAGCAATCCTTTAAAACAAGATTCTACTGTAATACAAAATTTCTGTTAAAATTTTAATCTCAATGATACAAAAATTATGTAGAACAATTATAATTTTGTTGTTAACCATTCTTTGCAGTATAGTTATAGATACTTGATTTTTCAGATACAAAATGTTAAATAAATTTCAGTAAAACTAATGATATTTAATATTAGAAAGTTAAAGCAATTTTAACTGTTCTGGCACAGAAAGAATAAGCAATAGTAATATATTGTCTATAATAGATAGTGACTCTATAGAGCTGAGAAGTTCTTTTTGGCCTTGAGAAGTTGACCCCATCATATGCAATTAGATCTGAATTGGGTCTTGAGTTTCCACGGAAACGTTTTGTTAAATTAACCTTAAACTTTTTGAGAAACATAATTTCTGACAATCCTCTTTGAAATGTGTGGCATATTCTACCTTGAAGAAGTTCTCATCGACCAGATCATTAAAATATTGTTGGGATACTAAACGGGAGGACTCTTTAATAGAATAGGTATTTCACTCTCCTTAATAGATTCATCCCCAGATGTTTTAAAATATTATACAAATGCAATCTTATATGAGTTTGACAATCTTTTTCTTAGAGAAGAAAGTAACAGGGTTCTCAAGGCTAAGTATCACACATGGTACATGGAAATATTAGACAATTGTCAGTGATTTACATCTATTATCAGCAACTGCCATTCATAATTAAAAAAACGATTATTCAAACTTGACTAAATAATTTAATTTAGTATGGAATAAATAGTTTAATTTAGTATGGAAACACTTGTGTATAGATTTATGTTCATCAGTTGCGTGTCCTTATTGTATGAAGGAAAATGCAAGCCTAAATCACTACATGTTTGATTGTGAGAAACTAGACTACTTGCATTTATCAACATGCACTAATAATGTTATTTGTAAAGAACCAGCTGAAGGAATACATGGACTATTCTCCAACAACAACTCGGATGAGTTTATTCGGCATAAATAGAACTTATTAACTAAAATAATCAAGTATGTTACCCTCCTTCTAAAAATTAATTTATGTATGGAGTTTTCAAATAAATAAATATATATATTGTCTATAATGAAAATACAATTTGATAAAAAAGTAAATACTAGATATACTAAAATTATAAAAATTCACACTGTACATAGCTAGTTACACTAGTAAACTAAACTGTCTTCAAGCATTACACACAAAAAGAAAAGAAAATTTATTCATTTTTAAAATTAATTAATGAACGATTAAGAACACTTATTAATTACCTTTTATTACTTAAGAGTCTCTTTACACTTAAAGGCTTAAATAAGATTTGATTTCATGAATTACTCCTAAATTTGTTGCTAAAATTCAACATTTGTCTGCTGCAGTAATTGAATGTTAAGAAGTTTTACAAAGTTGAAGAATGAAACAATTTTAAATACAAAGAATCTTAGTTTGAAAACTGAAATCTTCGACCAATTCTTCTTGTTTCCCTGATGATGGGCCTGACATCTTGGGAATAATTCATGAATTAGTTAAGCTTTTAAGTACAAAGAAACTCAGATAAAGTAGTGAGTAATAGTTAATTTAATGTTAGAGTTTTACTTAAGTAACTTTCTTTAAGTGTTATTATTTATCACTATACAGGTCAAGTTTTTAGAATACTGAATTACCAGTACTTTAAAAATTATAGAAAAAACAAAATAGACAATTACAGTGTTTAATTAATTTAAAATGATATATAAATAAAATGTAGGAAAATAACACATACAGAAATAAAAGAAACAAAAATATACAGAAATAAAATTTAGTTAAAAATTCTGTTTGCATTCAAATGTCTTTGATATTTATATTAAACTAATAGTCTTAGTAATATAGTCAGTAAATCTTAATTTAAAGTAAATTATCAATAAATGAACAGAGTTACCATGTTCTACTAATATTAAATTATTTTAATACATTTACAGTTCTTGGATGAACAATTCATTCCACAACATTTATGTTAAAAATAGTACATCTTCCCCTTCAACATTTATTAGTCAGCGATTAGCAAAGTGAAAATCAGTTTATTAAGCATACTAAATGAGTATTTATCATACATATTATTGTTATAGACATGTTAAGTACAGGGTGATTCAAAAGTCACAGAAATTTTTAAAAATTAATAACTCACAAACTATTTACAGTAGGATGATGCGGTTTTCACAGAAATGTTTAGAAAGAAGTGGGATTTTTTTGTGTTTAATAAAAATTTCAGTATCAAAATAGTTACATTTTTTGCCATAGATCACACTTGATATGATTACAATCTTATCAATCAAGTAAAATTTATAAATTTAAATAAGTTAAATTTATATTCTATAAATTTATCTATCTGCTAAATATTCTATAAATTTATCTATCAGCTAAATTTCTATAAATTTTATCTATCAGCTAAATATTTCATAATAATAACCTTCATATAGAGTTGGAACTTGATTTTCAAAATATATCAAAGTTGGAAATTCATGTACATCATATTCTTCTGCCATATCATTGTCATCTATTTTTACAAATGTTATTCCATGTTGATCTGTATCATCATCAATATTTTCTAATTCCTGCAGCACTTCTTCACAAAGAGTATCACCAGTTTCATCTAAGTATGAAAAAAATTAAACAATTTAATTAAAAAGAATTATTATTATTTCTATTTTATTAATAGATTACTAACAAAATAACACAGCAATATTGTCTGAAGATTTTATTAATTGTTCCAGTGCTTTTTCAGTAACATCTTCTATTTCATCTGTTTCTTTTTGTTTAATAAGCCATTCTAATAATTCATTCTCTTTTGTTAAATCTCCTGAAACACCAAAATAAATATAAATATATATGTTAAAAATACATTTAAATTAACATAAAATATTAATTAATCAATAAATTTTGATTTTTTTAATAAAATTTTGTATCCTAAATTATAAAGTCACAAAAAACCTTACATTTTGTATAGAAATTTTAAGAAAAAAAATTAAAAATGAATATGCAATATTTTCATCCAGAATACCCACCAGTCTTTGGAATAGAGAAAGAAATTTTGGGGTTTTAAAGATGATAGAGGTTGATGAGATAAGTATTGTTTCATGAAGAGCAACTTAAGGTTGGAAACAAAAATTAACAAAAAAAACTGGCTTGCAAAAAATTTGAACATGACAATTATTATCATGCCTCTACAGTTATCTTCTCTGTCTTATTGTATATGTGTTTTGGAATAATGAGTACTATTATACATTCAGTACAGTAAATGAAACTTACTTGATATTTTTCAGCATATTTTCAATAAATGTCTCAAGTGGCAACTGCCAACTTCATTTCACAGAGTACAATGATGAACTATGTTTTGTTGTACTCTCTCAAAGAGTGCTTGTTCTCTTCTGATAGTATCAAACACTGAAATGATAGGCAGATAGTTCTTCTTTTGTTTCCTCTGGTGTTTCATACTATGAATCTCCAGAGGAAGAAATTAGGAGATATTAAATCCAAATTTTCTGAAGGATGTAGCTCTGTCAATTTCTGTTTATGTCCCTAAATTGTTTCATAAAAAATAATCATCTCATCAACCTCTACTATGTACCATCCTTGCATTTATGACACATCAAACATCAACACACTGTATTTAGAATGGTCCTTTTATAATGTCCTTAATAAACTTTAGAATTTCAAATGTGACTCCTATATTTTTTCTATTTTTGAATTCTCAATTAAAAAACCAATAGTTGTTCCATCTCCTTACAGGGGACAGGTGGCTTAACTTTTAGGGAATTGAAAGGCCCATTGAAAATAACTTATATATATATATATATATATAAACTGAGATATATTACTTTTATTCTGATCAATTTTTTAATTAGAAGATATTTGCCAGGAACATTGAAATTAAACCACCCTGTATATAGAATTTGTGATGTGATTTATATTCTGCCAATTAAGTCTATCATTTGCTCTCCAGCAAACTAAAAATGCTGCTATTGTTTTTCTCTCAGTTCAAAGTTTTAATTAAAAATTTCAAGTAATTACATGATATTTTGATTTAAAGGATTGTCATAACTTGCATATATTCTGAGAGTAATTATATATTTATTAAATATTTTCCTAATTACTTTCATTTAATTTAATTCTTTTTTTTATTTAATTTAATGTTTATTGATTTAAATTATTTCTTATAATGGAGGAACAATTTGGTTATATAATGTTATTTAATATACATAGTAATAAATTATCACAAAAATTCTAAAGATTTAGAGGAGAAAATCTTAAATAGAGTAATTTTTGACGTCCTCATTTTTCAAATGATCATATTTGAAATCTTGTCCTAGTACAAAACATTTTAGTTGATATATCTTTTGACAAGAACCAAACAAGTGAATTAAGAGATTCTCTTCCTCTTTACTACTGCAATAACTACAAAACTTTTCTCTCAATATATTTATCCGGTAGCCCTTTAACAGAATCCAAAATTTATTAAATCTAAGTTGTATAATGAGGCTTTTTGTGGAAAAATTAGTCTCGCAGTTTAAGTTGTTTTCTGTACACCAACCCAAGCATGTTTCAAACAAATTAACTTGTTTAGCTGAAGTAGACGATATATCCTGATTCCATAGCTTGTCTGACCTAGTTTGAATTATAGAGTTTAAATGAGTTCTCAACAATAAAGCTGATCAAGTTGAAAACAAAAAGAAGTAACCCAAGCTATCAAAAATATTCTTAACTGAAGCAGGCCAACTTTTCTTATCAGGTTTGACTGCTGTTAACAAAACATTATAAGTAATTTGGCACANTATGAATTTTATATATAAAATTATAACACAAATAAAGCTTTTTTTGTATAAATTTATCATTATTATTTTTGTGCTATAAATACATTGAACTATTTTAAAGATTTAGTAATAACATTCTATTTTTAATTTTATCCAATTTTATTCTGTATTTTAATAACATAGAAATATATTAAGTTTTGAAAGAAAAAATTTTAAATTATATAATTTATTCAGATGATGGTGATAGTAAAAGAAGTATGAAAGTTTTGGATCAATTAGAAAATATTGATGATGAAGCAAAAAAAGATGGTATCACTTTTGTCAAAACTGATAGTGAAAGGGCTTGTGAAGATTATGGTATAGAAGAAAGACCTGCTTTAGTTTATTTTGAGAAGACACTGCCAAATTTTTATCAAGGTTTCAAATATTTAATTTTATATCTTTTTAAGAAATTTTGTAATTACACAATCTATATAATTTTATTTTATTATAATAAGGAAGCTTTGCAAAAGTAAATTCAATTCAAATTGTTTTTCTTGGAACAAAAACTTTTTAAAAAATCTGAAGTGCTTTCATGCTAGACATATCAATTAGAGAATAAATATTTTACTTCTCTTATTTATATTTTATTTCTCTAGTTGACTTTTAAGCTCTAATTTATGTAGTTCTCTGAGAAAATCAATTTGAATTTAATAAAGATAAATATTAATAAGGATTGAGTTTTATAAATAAGAGATTTTTGTTTGTTCTATTTCATTAATTTATAGTTTTATTTACTGCAGTTATTACTTTATTATAGCTATTAATTATTGTTAACTTTGTTTTTAAATTAATAACAGTAATTTGCATTAGTTAATTATTAGTGATAATTTATTGCAAATATTACTATTTAGTTATTTTTATTATATGATCTGCTGCTTACTAAAATTGTTATGAAAGAATTACACTGTAAAATAAAAGTTTTATATGAAATTTTTGTTATATTGATTTCTATAAAACTTAAATAGAATTACAGTTATTTATTTGTTAACTTTAATTTTTTATAGCAAACTGGTTAATTTTAAGAATCATTTTTATTAAATTTAAATTGAATTTCAATAGTCTCTAGGTAGAATTGAGCTTTGTAAATATTGATTTTGATAAAAATACTGTGTTATTGATACACACACATATAAACTTTAAAGCTTTTATATATTGTCTTATAAGCTAGATAACGAAATTATAAAATGTTGGAGAATTTTTGGATAGACATTAAAAGAGAAAATTGAAAATTAATATTATTATATCCATCTTTATTTTCATATTCCTCATATTCAAATGAAAAATAATTTAAACTAAAACAACTGTAAAATGTATATCAAAGCAAAATTTGAAAATGTGGAATTCATATGGTCAAATGCTGTTTTAACATATGTTTTAAAACTTCTAATTTTTATTCTATCTACTGGAAAATGATGATATAATAAAAATAACAGAATTTCCAATAGAGTGCTTCTGTGCATGTATCATGTTTAACAATTCAGAATCATTCACCCAAATTTTGATTGTGCGCAACAGGCCCTACCAATTTTGTTTATGAGTAAGTTCCTAAACTCAATGTATTTAAAGTTCTTTAGTTGAACATTTCTAAAGTTAAGTTGCTCTTACAGTGCGTTAAATCAGTTTTGCATTGAGCACAATTAAATTTTTCTCCATTGAAAGGTGTTGAAACTGTTGAGAGTGACATACCAATAACCGAGCCTGATCAATCATCAGTATTTTAAATTGATATGTTATTGACATAATATAATAAAGTTATGTATGAAATTGCTGCATAATGATATAATTATTATTTTTTAATTAAATGTCAAAGATAATTTTAATTTGTCAAATGTAATTGAAATTTTATTTTATTGGAATGTCATCAATCAGTGGAATTTTGACGAAGTGTTCCTAAATCTTGGCAACAATGCTTATTTTTAATTAAGGCACTTTAAAAGATTTATTGAGTTTAGGAATTCATGGTATTTTTGTCTTTTCTCCAAAGTACCAAATTCCAAGCTTTGTTTATAATACTAGCAGGCACTTAGAGCAATCACACTGATAATATATTCATGATGTAACCTGTATGAAATTCCTTTTATGGATTGTATTTGATTTCATTACAGTTAAATATTTTTAAGAATCAGTACATGTTAATAAAACAAAAAATTATTTTAAATTAATTGCATTGATTGGCTATGTGTGAGATGGATATTTAGGATAAAAAATATATAGAATGTAAAAATGTTTTGATTAAAAAATTACTTTAAAAAATTAAAGAAAATTTTTTAAAGTAATTTTTTAATCAAAACATTTTTACATTCTATATATTTTTTATCCTAAATATCCATCTCACACATAGCCAATCAATGCAATTAATTTAAAATAATTTTTTGTTTTATTAACATGTACTGATTCTTAAAAATATTTAACTGTAATGAAATCAAATACAATCCATAAAAGGAATTTCATACAGGTTACATCATGAATATATTATCAGTGTGATTGCTCTAAGTGCCTGCTAGTATTATAAACAAAGCTTGGAATTTGGTACTTTGGAGAAAAGACAAAAATACCATGAATTCCTAAACTCAATAAATCTTTTAAAGTGCCTTAATTAAAAATAAGCATTGTTGCCAAGATTTAGGAACACTTCGTCAAAATTCCACTGATTGATGACATTCCAATAAAATAAAATTTCAATTACATTTGACAAATTAAAATTATCTTTGACATTTAATTAAAAAATAATAATTATATCATTATGCAGCAATTTCATACATAACTTTATTATATTATGTCAATAACATATCAATTTAAAATACTGATGATTGATCAGGCTCGGTTATTGGTATGTCACTCTCAACAGTTTCAACACCTTTCAATGGAGAAAAATTTAATTGTGCTCAATGCAAAACTGATTTAACGCACTGTAAGAGCAACTTAACTTTAGAAATGTTCAACTAAAGAACTTTAAATACATTGAGTTTAGGAACTTACTCATAAACAAAATTGGTAGGGCCTGTTGCGCACAATCAAAATTTGGGTGAATGATTCTGAATTGTTAAACATGATACATGCACAGAAGCACTCTATTGGAAATTCTGTTATTTTTATTATATCATCATTTTCCAGTAGATAGAATAAAAATTAGAAGTTTTAAAACATATGTTAAAACAGCATTTGACCATATGAATTCCACATTTTCAAATTTTGCTTTGATATACATTTTACAGTTGTTTTAGTTTAAATTATTTTTCATTTGAATATGAGGAATATGAAAATAAAGATGGATATAATAATATTAATTTTCAATTTTCTCTTTTAATGTCTATCCAAAAATTCTCCAACATTTTATAATTTCGTTATCTAGCTTATAAGACAATATATAAAAGCTTTAAAGTTTATATGTGTGTGTATCAATAACACAGTATTTTTATCAAAATCAATATTTACAAAGCTCAATTCTACCTAGAGACTATTGAAATTCAATTTAAATTTAATAAAAATGATTCTTAAAATTAACCAGTTTGCTATAAAAAATTAAAGTTAACAAATAAATAACTGTAATTCTATTTAAGTTTTATAGAAATCAATATAACAAAAATTTCATATAAAACTTTTATTTTACAGTGTAATTCTTTCATAACAATTTTAGTAAGCAGCAGATCATATAATAAAAATAACTAAATAGTAATATTTGCAATAAATTATCACTAATAATTAACTAATGCAAATTACTGTTATTAATTTAAAAACAAAGTTAACAATAATTAATAGCTATAATAAAGTAATAACTGCAGTAAATAAAACTATAAATTAATGAAATAGAACAAACAAAAATCTCTTATTTATAAAACTCAATCCTTATTAATATTTATCTTTATTAAATTCAAATTGATTTTCTCAGAGAACTACATAAATTAGAGCTTAAAAGTCAACTAGAGAAATAAAATATAAATAAGAGAAGTAAAATATTTATTCTCTAATTGATATGTCTAGCATGAAAGCACTTCAGATTTTTTAAAAAGTTTTTGTTCCAAGAAAAACAATTTGAATTGAATTTACTTTTGCAAAGCTTCCTTATTATAATAAAATAAAATTATATAGATTGTGTAATTACAAAATTTCTTAAAAAGATATAAAATTAAATATTTGAAACCTTGATAAAAATTTGGCAGTGTCTTCTCAAAATAAACTAAAGCAGGTCTTTCTTCTATACCATAATCTTCACAAGCCCTTTCACTATCAGTTTTGACAAAAGTGATACCATCTTTTTTTGCTTCATCATCAATATTTTCTAATTGATCCAAAACTTTCATACTTCTTTTACTATCACCATCATCTGAATAAATTATATAATTTAAAATTTTTTCTTTCAAAACTTAATATATTTCTATGTTATTAAAATACAGAATAAAATTGGATAAAATTAAAAATAGAATGTTATTACTAAATCTTTAAAATAGTTCAATGTATTTATAGCACAAAAATAATAATGATAAATTTATACAAAAAAAGCTTTATTTGTGTTATAATTTTATATATAAAATTCATAAATATATTAAAAACTATTTTAATATAGTCTATTATTAGATAGACTATATTAAAATAATTAGCAAGTATGATAATTATTCTAATATAGCCTATAATTAAGTCAAAAAGAAGGATTATTAATATTTTTGAGAATGTTTATTCTCTTTTTCAGAAAAGTATTTTTAAAAAATGTATAGTCTAATATTTTTTTTACTCTTTTCACCCTGTGGGCACCAAGAGAGCCTTTTTTTTCAAGCCCATTGTAAGTTTGGCAAGGTCCACAGTGAAGCAGCCAGGTAGTGAGGGATGAAATCTAACTTATCTGACAGATCACCCCTAAAAAATTCCAGAAGTTTCTTGATTGCCTGGATTCCATTCTGGATCTCCAGAGTGGTAGACTGATGCCTTAACTGCCTCGGCTATCTGGCCAGCTCTAGCCTGATATTAGAACATGTAATCTCAAACATACAAAATATAAATTATTTATATTTTTTTGTGTAACCTAACAAAACATAATAACTTGAAAATAAAGTTTTGCAAAATTTTCACCTATTATTTTAGAATAATTGTCTTTAAAACAGAATAATTCTGTTATATTCAGTTGAAGATTTGTTTCATAATTTTAAAATTCTTCAATTCTTCAATAGAAGCTTTTTTCCATACTGTAGTTATTTTTGATCAAGCTTCTTGATCAAAAATAACTACAGTATGGAAACCTTGATAAAAATTTGGCAGTGTCTTCTCAAAATAAACTAAAGCAGGTCTTTCTTCTTAAAATATTGATTGATCAAGAAGCTTGATCAAAAATAACTACAGTAGAGCATCGATTATCCGACTCAATTGGAGACTGGGGTTGGTCGGATAACTGAAAAAACGGATAACCGAAAAATATGAAAAAATAAATCATTAGTATAGTATATTAGTATATCCCATGTAATTAGTATATTGCTATTAACCTACTTCGCGTTGAATTTTCATCGATGTTAAGCCTAACAAAAATTTTTTAAAATAATAATTGTTGCTATTGTATCGTTAAAAATTAGAAAATTAAACCTCATTTAAATACTGGCTCCCTTTCATGGTCGAGCCAGTGTTGCCAGCTAAAACACGTAAAAATAATATTAAAGTAGCCAAGACATAGCTGAATATTGTTGTGCCACATCACTAGCGGGCATTTGAATTTGCCTACTAGAACGCGGTTGGTTAACCAAGGTGATAGTTAATTGGGGGTCGGATAATCAATGCTCTACTGTATTACTAAAAATTCTGTTAAAATTTATTTAAAATTCAAAATACAGTATAATTTTAATTCTTCAGTCTAATTTTAAAAAGTAAATGAAATATTTAGTACATACAAAATAAAACTGCTAAATGTGACGATTTCTGAACCAAAGCTTCTAAGGCATTTGCTGTTACATCTTCAATTAAATCATCATCATCCCCTATATCTTGAAATTCAAATAACCACTGCAAAACCTCTTCTTCATTCATAAGATCTCCTGTATTAAAGTGAACAAAACAAAACATATAAAAAGATTGTACTTCGATAAATATTTCGAAAAATATAATAATTATATTGCAAAAAATTGAAGGGTCCAATTGCTCATATTAATAAGAATTCAAGTCTTTTCTTTCTTTTTAAGAAATTAGTAAATTTTCTCATTTTCTTATAAAAATTTAAGAATTTATTTTAAATAAAGGAAATCAAACTCAGATAGTTCAAAGTCCCGTTAGTTCATAACTGTATTTTTGTACCAGCCAGGGATATAGATATATACATGTTAAGCAAATCAGTTAGTTCAAAATATGGCTACTTTGAAATTGGAAGTGAAAATTCTGTCTAAACCATAATATGAGTATGTTAACTCATTTGTTTAGATCAAAGTGCCTCCATACAATAAGAGAACAATAAACTTAGAACAACTCTAATCTGGTCAATATGGCTTCGCTTGTACAGTAATACATTTTTGGGTCTCATCTTACTCAAGAACTACCCTTTTTACTCTTATCTGATAAAATACGGCTGGTTCTTGGGATTGCAAAATTAAGCAACAATTGGGTAGCAGATTGAGATTTGTAGGGCCTAGGCTACTACGTTTTTGGGCAACTTACTACTTTTTGGGGTAACTTTAAAAATAATTCAGGCTACATTTCTATGAATTCTGCTTTATTTTTCACAAAACCTATCTGGTGACCTGTGAGGTTCTCACCAGACATGTGCTGTTTACCTGCAGTTTATTTATATTATTATTATAAATTATTAATTAATGAAAATAGTGTTCTGTATACTTAGCCGTACTCCATTTACTTAATAAATTACTAATACAACAGATAAATGGTATTTGGCATTGTGTGCAGAAATATGGAAATCTTGGATAATTCAAAATCGAAATTATTTTGTCCCTTGAATTTCAGACTAACGAGGATTTTCTGTATAATCATTTTGTTGAATAGCCTCTGAAGATGAGATCTTTGTGTCCAAAATTTTTTTCTGTTGATAATAATTCCAAAACAAGCAATTTCATTCAACTTTCTCTATGACCTTGAAATCTATTTTGTTAAATATATCACTTATGCATTTACAGATGGAGACTAGGATACCTTATAAGTAAGTATATATAGTAAGTATAAATCATACACGACTACTTTGATCCATTTCAAAGTCATGCTGATCCAAACAGTGGCAGGCTTGATAGAGACACCACACCACAGCCGTTTATTTGTTAGAAAAATAAAAATACAAAGGACATATAACACAAATCATTGCCACAGACAGGTGAGAAATTTAACATATTTACATAATATTATTTTTAAAAAATTATTTAAAGATAATAAGATTACAACTGAAAAAAAATGCAATCATCACAGAATAAAACAAACTATTTTAAAGTATTTAAACAATCTTACATAACAAGAATAAAACTTATAAAAATTGTTGTAATTTTTTTTTTAATATTAAAAAATTATTTTACCTTGATAAAGTATTGGGATTTTCTTCCTGTAATAAACAAGAGAAGGTAAATCATCTAAGCCATACTCTTCTGCAAGATCTTCATCAGAAATTTTTACAAAACCAATATCGTGACCATCAGCTTCATCATCAATGTTTTCAAGTTCATGCAATACCGCAACACATTTCTCACAATCATCCTTATCTACAAATAGTTTCCATAACATCTTAAGTTTGTATTTTTTTTAAAATATAGATAATAAGATGTTAAACATTATTTAAATAGATAATTTGTAAAAAGGTCTAAGTAAAACAATTTAATTTAAAAGTTTTCACTAAAATTTTAAGAAAGTAATTATAATATTTTTAGTTGATTTCAGAAACCAAATTCATCTAGTAAATATTAACTAGATGAATTTGGTTAACTAGATTTTTCTGCATCCATTTTCCAGGTACAATGTTTAAAAGAAACATTATACCATGAATAAAGTACAACAGTATCTGAAAATCTTGGATAAATAAATTTAGTTCTTAAAAGCAGTTTTACACAGTATTTCTTATTTGTTAATAATATAAAATTTTAAAAAATAATTATAAATAGATCATTACTTTTAAAATGCCATTCAACATTTACTTAATTTTCCATGTAAAGCCAAACCTAACAGATATTTAATAAACAAATGATATAGCTAAATTCTTATAATATACCATTGGATCATCAGACTTTGAACTATGATATACAATCAGACATCAATTAATCATAATGTAGCCCATCAAAAACCTGACTATATCATTTGATACCTTCAATATTGATATCACACACCATCCAGAGAGAAAGTGTAAGAAACAAATAACAGAAATTAAATTAAAAATTAAACAGTTTGCAAAAGGACAAAGAAACAAAAAGGCTTTCATTAATATTATTTACTATGAAATCGCTGAAAGGGTTTTTCATTACAATTAAACATTGAAATTTCAATGAAAATACTTTAAGGGAATTAATACAACTGAAATAAAAACAAGAAAAAACAAGTCATACTTTGAGTGCTTTTAGGTATAACATCATCATCAGAAAAATGGCTTTATCAAATATGACTGTGTAGAAATGTAACATTGTTGCTCAAGATTACAAAATCTTGAAATCAATGCATAATATAAATAACAAATAATAGAAAAAGGCAGAAAATTTAAATTATTAATTTTTTTCATATTTGTTGTTTCCATTTTACTAACTCCTATACAGCATTTTCATTAAAATTTTATTTAAAAGGAGTTTTCTCTTTTGTGAATCACTAAAAACAAAATTAAATCTGTAACTGCTGTTTTGCTATTTAATTTTTGTAATTTAAGAATTTATTTTAAATAAAGGAAATCAAACTCAGATAGTTCAAAGTCCCGTTAGTTCATAACTGTATTTTTGTACCAGCCAGGGATATAGATATNAAAAAAAAAAAAAAACATGCAGCACTCTGCACGTTCTTTTTTTTGTTTCCAAGGAGAACAGAAATTCTTAAAATTTAACTCAAACGTCCGGTAATACCATTAGTAACATGCAACAAGGTTTTGAAAATGTTCGAGAATCTTAAATCTATGCAGTGGGCGGCGCATGTGTTGAATTGCAACCATGCTAATTGTACGATGTTTGACGCATTTTGTTGTTTAAACACTGATATAAGGCTACCCATATCTCGGGCAAGTTGAGGGTGAGAATGTTGCATGCATCATTAGTCATTGTGAGAAGTGCCTCCCAAATAAATACAATCCTTTTGCTACTGCAGCACTTGAGTAATGCTGTTTTGGACTACAACCCGTTGTGGTCCAAAACAGCATTATCCTTTTCTTTATATTGTTCTTTTTTGCTTGAGGATGACGAATTTATACTCGTTGAAAGTACTTGCAATATAAGAAATATTGTATTAATGCTGAACTCAGTGTTCGTTATCAAGAAATTAAACAATGCTATTGGATGATAGTTTTGAGAATTTAGTTTGTCTCCTTTCTTGTAAATCATTTGCAACAACACATTTTTGCAATGCTCAGGAAATTTTGATGTTTCTTTAATCTTGTTAAAGAGTTTGAGTAATTCATCAGGTAGGTATATAATAAATTAATTTTTTTATACCGTCCATACCAGGGGCTGATTTTATTTTAAGTTTGCGAATTGAAGTTTTTAACTCAGAGTGAAATTGGATCATCTAAATTTGGAGAGACATTATCACAGTCAAAATCAAGAATTGAATCAGAACTTGGATGGCAAAAGTTATATTCTAAAAAACATTTCCAGTCATGAGGAGGAATTTGATTATTGGATTTCTTTCCTCTATTAAATCTATTAACAATAGACAAAAATCGTATAGAAGATCGTGCAGAATGCAACTGTCTACTAATATTTGACCAGTAATTCTTCTTTTTAGTCTTGCATAATGAACGAAAGATTGCTTTAAAATCACAATATTTTATTATATCTTCATTATTACGGGATATTCGAAATCTCCTCAGCGTCGTGTTCTTTAGTTTTTTTGATGTTCTATAGTCTCTGTCAAACCAAGCTGAAGATGATAATTTTGTTGTTCCCAGGTACATTGTCATTCTACATTGTTCAGTTGATGACTTAATCAAATCCAGAATCGCAGAATATCTGTCCTCTATTCCATCAATATTTACATATTTAGCCTAAACTGTTTCAGAATATAAACTGAATTTGTCTTCTTTCCAGATTAGTCCTTTTTTCTTGTCAATCAAGTTAGATTTTCTATCCTCATCAGTGTCTATCAAGATTTCAGAAATTACCAAATGATGGTCAGACATATCTTCAGAAATAAAAAATTTATGCAATCTCTCTACCACACTCTTGTTCAAAATCACTAAATTGATTACTGAAGCACCCTGTTTGGATGTGTAAGTAAAGTCTGCTGATGATTCAAAAGGGTGTTGACCATTTATTATATATAAATTATAAAATTTCACTAGTTCAATAAGTAAATTTCCTCTTTTATTACAAATTTTATCATTTGATAGTTGGATGTTTGAAATCACATCCCCCATGATAAATAGTGACCATGGTCAAGTCAATTCATGCATTAAAATCACCATCAGTAGAAGACCAAATCTTCCAATTTTGCAATTAAAGTTTCAAAGATAGGAATATGAAGATATGCCAATATAACTATCATTTTTCATAGTCCTTTATTTTGCCTCCAGTTAAATTTCACTCTAACAACCATTATATGTTGCCATGACAGCAGCAAGTTTACTTCCCCCAGGTCTTTGTTTAGAGCTAAAAGTAATCTGCCCAAAGGTCTACCTCTTCCTAAACTTTTAGTAGCCATTATCTCAAAAACTTTTAATCTACAATTAATACTTTTAACTCTCTAACACAGTGGAGCTGTAGACCAAGTCTCTGTCAGTTCAAAAATATCAGTTTTAAAAATATGTTAACGAAATCACTATCATTCAGATTAGGTAGGAGGATAACCTGAGAATTCCATGTTAAAACAAAGAAGTGTACAATCCAACTGTACACTTCTTTGGATCGGAGAATAAAGATTTTGAGAATTTGCCATTTGATTTTCCAGTAAAAAATCAAGTTTTAATAATTCTCCTCTATCTAAGTCGTAAGTATAGCTCTCAGCACCAATCTGCAAAACATCAGTCATCAGTCAAACTCTCCTGCCTTCCAGCCTATAATCGTGTAAAAAAAGGCAGAAGTTTTTCCATTTCAATCTTGAATGCCAACATAAATCATCAAAAATTTGTATATTCTTCAATGCATCATTAGCCTTCATCTTTCTAACATTACCAAAAATTAATTTCTTGTCTGCAAATGACTAATTCCACCAATATAGCATGTGATAGATTAAATTTCACTACCTTAACCATTGGAGCTGATTTTTATTCACCTATCAGTTTAGAAAACAGGTTTTACACTTTCCTATTCAGATTGGAACTGTCATCAAATCAAACCTTTCATTAAAATATTTTTCTTTCTCATTTCATTTGACACCTTGTCTATAGAATGCAAGATCAAACTATTTTTCCACTGCATGTCATCTTTAAGTGTGGAAATTTCTTCTAATTTAACCTCCAACTGGGTTAATTATTGGTCGTGTTCATTATGTAAATTAACCAACTAGTCAATTCTCATTACAACCTTGTTTAGAGTCGAAAAAACTTATCCAATCGGTTGTCCAAATATGAAATAATCTCCTTAGGAATAGACTTACTTGAGTCTATCTTTGAAGAGAAAAAATCCTCCAGTCTCACCGACTTCAAGGAAGGTTCACTCGGAAAACAATGTCTTTTTACTGTAGATGCTGATGATTGAATCTGTGAATGCAGCAGAGTACGATCAACAGGAACAGGATTTAATTCTATCCTACTTAATATTAACAACTCCTCAAACAACATTATCCAAAACTCAATATTTTCCATAATTCTAAAATTCAAAAGAAGCTCACAAAAAAGTTCACCAACACTCTTCGTAGCAATAAGCAGCACCTCCCATAATTACTTTCATGTTTACAGTTGTTTGAGATGAAAATGAATCTTATTCTGGACAATAGTAATGGTGCTGCATTTGGTTCTATTTTATTTTTTAAAATTTATAAAAGGATAAAAAATATATAGAATGTAAAAATGTTTTGATTAAAAAATTACTTTAAAAAATTAAAGAAAATTTTTTAAAGTAATTTTTTAATCAAAACATTTTTACATTCTATATATTTTTTATCCTAAATATCCATCTCACACATAGCCAATCAATGCAATTAATTTAAAATAATTTTTTGTTTTATTAACATGTACTGATTCTTAAAAATATTTAACTGTAATGAAATCAAATACAATCCATAAAAGGAATTTCATACAGGTTACATCATGAATATATTATCAGTGTGATTGCTCTAAGTGCCTGCTAGTATTATAAACAAAGCTTGGAATTTGGTACTTTGGAGAAAAGACAAAAATACCATGAATTCCTAAACTCAATAAATCTTTTAAAGTGCCTTAATTAAAAATAAGCATTGTTGCCAAGATTTAGGAACACTTCGTCAAAATTCCACTGATTGATGACATTCCAATAAAATAAAATTTCAATTACATTTGACAAATTAAAATTATCTTTGACATTTAATTAAAAAATAATAATTATATCATTATGCAGCAATTTCATACATAACTTAATTATATTATGTCAATAACATATCAATTTAAAATACTGATGATTGAT